AGAGGAAAGATTAGAATTAAAATGAAAAGAAAACAGCTATTTTTGCTACCAGTGTTAAGGAGACCTGTTACAAACAAACAAAAATGAGGTTTACTGCTTGTCAGTTCATTCACCAGCATAGATTATAGGCAGTAAAATGTAGATATATTGTGCAGAAAAATTGTGTTTAAATGAAATCAATAACCCATTCAATGTTATTTCTATTGATACAGCAATCAATATGCTATTAGACTTTGTATACAGGGCAGTAGGAGTGGGGAAAAGGGTAAAATGTCTGGTATTTTCTTATATAGAAGCTTCATTGATTTAATAGATGTTTTACATGCAACATTCCAGACAGAGATGTCACCTGAATGCCATACAGTACTTAAATGTCACTCATTGCCTTTCTATAACCTATCCAAATTACTTTTTATAAAACAAATACTTAACATTTTAGTTGAAAAAGTCTATCTTAAGAAATCATACATATATTTAAAAGTCAGCAAACTATATACCAGGACAAAAATAATATATGGAAACATATTCCTAATATACTAAAAATGCTCTTAAAGAAGAGGACCAGGGTACATGTACTAATATTTAGCCTGTAGAATACTGGATTGAAGGGCTACTCTGTGTGTTCAAATGAATGACATTGACCAATTTCAAGGTCAAAGGGATCAAAGTGTGAAAATGTTTAAACAGCTTTTTGCAATTACCAACAGACTTGGATTAATGATATAAAGACTGTAGCACTAGCTGGGATTGAGGTCTTCAAAGCTTTCTCAAATGAATGACCTTGACAAACTTTCAAGGTAATAGGGTCAAAATGTGATAAGAACTTTTTCTCACACACAAAAAAAGAAATAACCAATAGGCCCAGAGTCATTGTGTTCTATGGTATTTGGAAATAGAATGAACTTCCAAGTCTGCAGAAATTGGATAGATAAGCAAAATCTTTTTAAGGCTTTAGAGCAAGTGAACAGAATAGGCCCATGGTGCCTCTTGTTGTACAGAATCATTTTAGATTTAAATGTTGTGTTGCCTTTTGATATTAAAGTCAACTGCTCTGTCATGAAATGATATGTCAGATTTTTAGCAAATGTACATGTTTGCAGTGACATTAACAGATGTGTTTTGTGGGTCATTACTGGTTTGTATGTGTAATTCACCTGACGGACATAGCATTAAGGTAGCTTTTAAGTAATCAGACTTACAGGTGAATTTTCTGTCATCTCCGTCTATTCGCACACTGCGCAGTGTTTACCCTGAGGGACAGAAAAAAAAAGAAAATCTCTGTTGTTGACGCCATTCTCGAAATAAAATAAGTGACATTGTACAAGATGGCAGAGGACGAACTTACACCGTCCTTCACAGTAAGTTGCTCTAATCTTATTGAACCGGGAATTGTTTATTGATAATGTTGGCAAATATTGACACATATATTGCTGCCAGACTTGTGTACATATTAATGTTGTGTCGCTAGCCGGAGACAGGTATTGGTGCTGTGATGTATCGGCTACAGGCAGTCAGGTAATGTTGTTATAGATCAGCCAATTACCTGTGGTAGATAGTTTTTCATGGTGTATCAATACTTACTGTCAAGGATTTCGGTTGATATCAGGTTGATACTGTGTGGATTTGTGTTGATATAAGACATATTGTTTGTGTGTACTCAGTACTACACTGGTTTGGGTTGATATAAGACATATTGTTTGTGTTGATATAAGACATATTGTTTGTGTTGATATAAGACATATTGTTTGTGTTGATATAAGACATATTGTTTGTTTGGGTTGATATAAGACATATTGTTTGTGTTGATATAAGACATATTGTTTGTGTGTACTCAGTACTACACTGGTTTGGGTTGATATAAGACATATTTTTTGTGTTGATATAAGACATATTGTTTGTGTTGATATAAGACATATTGTTTGTGTGTACTCAGTACTACACTGGTTTGGGTTGATATAAGACATTTTGTTTGTGTTGATATAAGACATATGGTTTATGTTGATATAAGACATATTGTTTGGGTTGATATAAGACATATTGTTTGTGTGTACTCAGTACTACACTGGTTTGGGTTGATATAAGACATATTGTTTGGGTTGATATAAGGCATATTGTTTGTGTTGATATAAGACATATTGTTTGTGTGTACTCAGTACTATACTGGTTTGTGTTGATATAAGACATATTGTTTGGGTTGATATAAGACATATTGTTTGTGTGTACTCAGTACTACACTGGTTTGGGTTGATATAAGACATATTGTTTGGGTTGATATAAGGCATATTGTTTGTGTTGATATAAGACATATTGTTTGTGTGTACTCAGTACTATACTGGTTTGTGTTGATATAAGACATATTGTTTGTGTTGATATAAGACATATTGTTTGTGTTGATACATGCATTATGTTTACAGTTGTATTGTTTATATTTACATAAAAAAAAACACAACTCTGATTGAGTGCAATGACTTATTAACTATAGGTAGCGAGGCTCAATGACTTTTCTCTGTTTGGATTTTCCTCGGTCGCCTCCTAGCTTTCAAAATTGACGCCCCTAACATCACTGACGAGTCCAAGATGAGACACAACTGTATTGTGCAGTTTAATTGTTATTTTGGTAGTAAAAGGTGCTTTTGACTTCTGTTTTCTTTGTAAATTCTTTTCATTAGTTGTGTACAGGTAGTGTATGGACTTGTTTGACGGGATTTTTACATCCGTGTTGGTATAATTAGTCGCTTTACCTGGCACATTTTACCCTGAACTGTGAAGGTGGTAATAGTTATTGTGTAGGAGATTTATCTGTAATACAAGTTCATTAGACTGGCTGTGCATGTAAACACTTACTGCATTGAACACTTAATGACCTCCGTCGTGTTAGTAGATAGTGTATTATATCAAGCATGTTCTCACATTTAAATATCCAATTAACCATTGAACTGGTCTGACATCTCAGTTGATTAAGTGAAGCTGTTTAAGTTTCTTGGTGAGAAAATTATATCTGTAGCATTTTACCTGAAAGAATATTAAAAAAAAATAGCATAGAACGGAATTCTTCAAAAGTCTGATGACAGTTGTCAAAACAAAACAAAAAACCCACACCCTCAGCCTGAAATAATCTTCAACATCAGTGTAGATTTTATTCTGTGTAAAGTCTTGTTTTGATTTATCAACCATAAATTAAGTGTATGTTGTATACAGGGTTACCACTTAAGTTGGAGTTTGCAAGTGAAAGTGAAATTTTATGATGTTGCAATCTTTGCAGTTACAGAATCTAAAAATAAAGGTGCCTCGGTAACAAGAAGAAATACCTCTAATAAGACACCTCTACAGGGTCTAAATAGGCCTACAGAAATAAACATGTCAACATTTTACTCTAATTGTTTCAGGAGTTAATATGTACAACACACATTATCAGGAGTACAGGTCAATTTTAGACAACTTTCAGTGATCGCTGTAGAGCTTATATGTTGAGTGGTACTCAGGGAACGTCCTCAATCCTTCATCTTAACTTACTTACACTTGTTCAAACTCTCTAAAAGCCATGTCAAGTACACTTAAAGCGAAGATTAAATATTCTATTCAAATGTGAGACATTTCAGTATACCAAGTAGTCAGCTTGTTGACTTGTCTGTCTGTGAGATTTAATTTCATTGAGACAAAACTATAAGTTTATCTGTTGAAAATTAACTGTAATTATGATGACCTTTTACAAAATAGCAGCATTATAGACAAAAGATTTAAAGTATCCAATGATGTGTTGAATGAAGTTAAAAGGTAAGGATGAGAAATGATGACTTGGTAGACATGGATTAGAGTGTGTGTAACCCTGTCAAGGCCTACAGTTGTCCTCATCTATAATAGTGTGACAGAGAAAAAGGCATCACGTTGACACTGCTACCATGATTGTGTGATACTTATCTGGTAAACGTATATGTTTTCTTTGTTTAGATGTAATGCTTTTTTTCTCAAATTCTCTTCCAAGTTAAATTTAACATCATTCCTCACGTCGCTTTTGTAAACAGATTGACGGAGGTATTATAGTAGTCATCTCGTCTAAATTCTGTAAAAATTATTCTCACTGGTAGATGACCTCAGAGTTAACTTTATAACACAAGTAATCATTTATCTGATAGTAAAACCATCCATGTAATGATGTCAGGATCAGTCACGAGGCACGCCCAAGGCTTTGATACTGAAATAATGGTCAGGGGTAGTGCACTACAGGTATCAGAGATGTCCCAGGTGTAGGAAGGATATTAGCTACAGGTGAACGACCAGACCGAACTTTCCCAGACACGAATGGCTGGCTCGTGATAACCAAACAATAGATTTGAATGAGTCGACATTTTCTGCAATTAAATTGTCAATTTAACAGGATGAATTTTACATCTTTATATAGAAAATGAACATTTGGAATGAAAAATGACTTGAAACATTTTTATATATGTCAAACAAACAGCTTATTAACAGTGGTTTGTTGTGACTATGTAACATCTTGATGTGTTTAGCTGGTGTCAGTTATATGTGCACTGCTTTAGTATTAGTCATCAGACACATTAACACTAGAGGCAATATTGTAATGTAGAGACCTCTGGTAAAATAAACGATATGTGACGTAGCCTTTGGCCAACCTGTAGACATAAAAGGTTTAACAGTTTAGTGACTTACAACAGCTGGAACTTAAAGCTGGTGAAAAAAACTTTTTATCAGTGTTGAGGGTATTTGAACCCAAATGAGCACTCTTTGGTCACTTGCAGTCCTTATTGTTAAAACTTCGACACATGAACAATAAGAATTGGACCAGTGACATATTGTTTGAACTACATTTGTCGATGACAAAAAGAAAATATTGTGACAGTGGTCAGTATCATTTATCACCCTGAGGTACAGGTGTGAAGTATGCTTTTAATTCAGCATACAACAGTGCAATGCTTTCTGACTTTGATAAATATATCCTTCAGAAGCCAAAGTAACATGTCCTTTGTTTACCTGTGTTGCAGTGTAAGGAAGTGTCCGAGGCAAGTGCATACACGTTTAATGAGTATGATACAAATACAGATGAGGATGGAGTAGGCCTTCTGATAGATTTCTCTACCCCTGAACCAGTGCGTAAGGACCTCCAGCAACTGTCTTATAATAGGTAAGTGTCTTCCCAACCTACCTCCAACAATTGTCTTATAACAGGTAAGTGTCTTCCCAACCTACCTCCAACAATTGTCTTATAACAGGTAAGTATCTTCCCAACCTCCCTCCAACAACTGTCTTATAATAGGTAAGTGTCTTCCCAACCTACCTCCAACAATTGTCTTATAACAGGCAAGTATCTTCCCAACCTACCTCCAACAACTGTCTTATAATAGGTAAGTGTCTTCCCAACCTACCTCCAACAACTGTCTTATAACAGGTAAGTGTCTTCCCAACCTACCTCCAACAATTGTCTTATAACAGGTAAGTGTCTTCCCAACCTACCTCCAACAATTGTCTTATAACAGGTAAGTATCTTCCCAACCTACCTCCAATAACTCTCTTATAACAGGTAAGTGTCTTCCTAACCTACCTCCAACAACTTTCTTATAACAGGTAAGTGTCTTCTCAACCTACCTCCAACAACTGTCTTATAACAGGTAAGTGTCTTCCCAACCTACCGCCAACAATTGTCTTATAACGGGCATGTGTCCTCCCAACCTACCTCCAACAACTGTCTTATAATAGGTAAGTGTCTTCCCAACCTAACTCCAACAATTGTCTTATAACAGGTAAGTGTCTTCCCAACCAACCTCCAACAGTTCTCTTATAATAGGTATGTGTCATCCCAACCAACCTTCAACAATTGTCTTATAGCAGGCAAGTGTCTTCCCAACCGACCTCCAACAGTTCTCTTATAACAGGCAAGTGTCTTCCCAACCTACCTCCAATAACTGTCTTATAACAGGTAAGTGTCTTCCCAACCTACCTCCAACAATTGTCTTATAACAGGCAAGTGTCTTCTCAACCTACCTCCAATAACTGTCTTATAACAGGTAAGTGTCTTCCCAACCTACCTCCAACAATTGTCTTATAACAGGCAAGTGTCTTCCCAACCTACCTCCAATAACTGTATTATAACAGGTAAGTGTCTTCCAACCTACCTCCAACAATTGTCTTATAACAGGCAAGTGTCTTCCCAACCTACCTCCAATAACTGTATTATAACAGGTAAGTGTCTTCCAACCTACCTCCAACAATTGTCTTATAACAGGCAAGTGTCTTCCCAACCTACCTCCAATAACTGTATTATAACAGGTGTCTTCCAACCTACCTCCAATAACTGTATTATAACAGGTGTCTTAACTAATGTATTAAAACAGTCTTACCTATTTACCTCTTACAGTAACAGCCAAATGTTACATGTACCTAAGACAATTCTCTTCAAAAACAAAAAGAAGGAAATTTAATATCAAGTATGTACAGAGTAAGGACGACTTGTCATTATTCCACTGTGTTTGTTGTTTATATAAATACTTAAATCACTGTTAAAAACATGAAGATTTCATGGGGAGATTTTTTTGTGGGACATTCATAACCTTTTAATTTATATGTCTGTGAATTGACTTTACATTTTTAGTCTCCCGATGCTCTACTGAACTTTGAAATAAATTTAATTGGACAGTTTAACCAATTATGTGACTTGGAGCCATCATTTAGGCAATAGGCAGCATTTCCATGGTAGTGTGATAAGAAAAAAGCACCCTCTATTCCCTGGGCTATCAAACTGTTGTATGATTTTTTTTTTCAGCTATTTTAATGCACATGTTTTTATGTGAAAATTATAACATGAAATTGCACAACTCATAAAAATCTTAGTAAAGTAATCTTAGATCATTGGACATCTGTACATCCCCCCAAAAATTGATAATGTGATCTCGGTTTTCTGTCACCATGATTTAAGAAGTATATATATAAACAGAATTATAAATCATATTTAATAATCAGGCATTGAATTTGAATATTTCAGTGGACTTGATTGTACAGACGAAGAAAATTTTGAAGATTTTGGAGAAGCAGATGACCTAGAATCTGATACATCTGACCACCTCAGTCATAACAAGTAAGTATAGATAGACCTATTCTTCCTTTATACCAAAGACACACCCACTTTCTCATCACCACAAAGCAGATTCATATTTATACCTTATTAAGTAACCACCTGTATTAAGAGACCACCTGTATTAAGAGACCACCTGTGTTTAGAGATAAATTCCATTAGAGATGTAAACTGACCTCTTTTGACCTTTCCCTTTGGTAGTCTCAACAAAAAAAGACATGATTACAGCTTGTTGCACATTTGTCCTTTTGAAAACCGTTGTCATTTTGAGGAGCTATCGTCCTTTCAATGAGCCATGTGCTAACCTTGGCAGTGTATTAGCTCTATCCTCATCACAATGATATTGTTTTTCTGTTTATCATGTTTATCATGTAATATCACATTCAACAGGAGCTGTGAGAACTGTCACAAGATCCGGACAAAGAGGGGAGTTAACTATCGAGAAAAGCATCACCGTCGCAATTCCTCAGGGTACATATTTCTGATCACTGTTGCCTGTCTTTGTTTCTCTTACAGCCGTCTCTGTTTGTACTCTGGGTGAAGGTGTGCTTTTGCTACTTATTTTGTAGTGATTTTATTTGTTACTAATTATATTTCTGCTTAAATATTTGTAACACAGTAGTTTGTTTTTGTTTGGCTTTCTGTAGAGTTTCATTACCACCATTTTAATGTTTGCGTCGCGTAAGCATGTTGTTTTTGTTGCATGTGAAACAGATGCCTATATAATGGAGAATAAAGTTTATCAGTATAGAATAAAGAGGTTCAGATCTAACCGAAACACTGAGTAGTAAACAGTATAAAACAACTGATTTAACTAAATTGAACTATCACAAATACATTATGACTAAATTTGTATTGTAAAAGTTGCTAAAACCGAGAATTAGTAATATACTGTCATGTTCACTACCCATGGCAGCTTGTGGTTCTCAGGAAGCTGAAAAATGGGCCAAGTGTCCTTGGGCAAGACATTTTATGTCCTAATGAATTGATCTGGATGGCATGTGATGGGCCTCCATATGTTGTTCAATGAGGTAACCACCAGCAATTGCAAATAAACTCTTACTCAAAATGACCCTGGCTGTTCACAGGGCAATAACCCTGCAGGCAAAGGAACCGCTCATGAACACTGTCATGGTTTTAGTTACTTCATTACCGAACATTTTTAGATAAGCATTCATGTTAATTGGTACAACTAGACCTTGTACAAGATAAAATGTTGATTCGTAGTATGTGGTCCAAGCAAATTACTGAAAAACAATACTATTCTGGCAATTTAATTTCCTACCAATTTTTTTGAAAAATATTCATCCTGTAAATACCTCAGATTTGTTTGCATAGAAATAATATTAGAAGATACATGTATTTCACTTCTTCAGTGAAATTTTCAAAAATATAGTAGTGTCCTCTGGTACTCACTGAACAATTCTTTCTGCCAATCCACAAGATTTTAGTTAGAAAAAAAATATAACGTACTACATTTCAGTTTCAATAAATTCTATACATGGCTGGATCAAACCTGACTGAATTTGACCTCGTTAAAATTAAACCCCTGTAAGAAGTATTATTGATTTTTTATCTGTAGCAAAAGAGGCTTAGATATATTGTCATGGGAAAGATTGATCGATAGTGATCAATCTCCTGTTAGCTATTTTAGGTCCTGAATACTTTATAAAAATAACATCAAAAGACTTATAAACAGGTAGACTTTAATTTTTAATGAAGTCGCCAATTAAAACAAGCATGGAAATAATGTATATCCGTTTCTTCTGCCTTTGCTTGAGGTAAAACTAAGTAGTAAGGCTAACTCTCCTGTTGACAATAAAATATTTGTCAGTGTTTTATGTAAAGGAGGATAGAAGATAACACTTGAGTATTAGATTGAATAAGTCAAAATCCGTACAGGTATTGACACGAATATCATTACATTATAATTGGTAGATAGCTGGCTCGCTTTTTAACATTATTTTGTCAATGTTATGGTTCAGATGTGTGTGTTTATGTTTTTAATGCCTACATAATTTTTTTGATTTAAACTTTACACATGTATTCACACTTTTTTTAATGTATACCTGCAATGTACTTGTACATATACCAAGTACTGTATATAAGATCATTACATTTTTATCAATCAAATATTTGTATGGAACATTTATTCTAACATCAAAAAGTTGCAGTTTCATTAACAGGTCCAGAGATGGATATACATGTATATAATTTAAATTTATCAAAAGATTTATTGAATCCATTAGAGAAAATTGCTCATTACTTATTTGTTCCAACACAGCTGTTAAAAAAATCTTATCAAGAAAAATATGACAATTTTATTTAATCTTAGATAAATTTTAACAACCATTCATTTGAGTATTTGTTTAGAAATCTGGTTTAGAGTGTTTTCCAAGAATTCATTGCCTATCATTGCTCTGTCTTTCTAGCCATTTCACATTTTCAACTCCTAGAGAGTACCGTTCCTTCAGTCTACGATCGTAAGCTTCCCGTATTAATACTTCATATTAACTTTTATTTTCTACCTAGTTACTACCGAATTTCAGCACTTTTAACTACACTACAGTTATCTCTGTAGCAATGAAGTAACAGTTGATTTCTTTTTCTTTGTCACTTTCTTTTCTCTGTACCCAACTCACATATTTATAATAATGGCATGTACTGTACTTCATATTATCATGTATATCTTGGTTAAAATCACTTGGTTAACCTCAGTTAAAGTTACTGGGGTGACCTTGGTTAAAGTTACAGGGTTGACCTTGGTTTAAATCATTGGGTTGACATTGCCTAAAACCACTGGGTTGAAAACCTCTGTTAATGCCACTGGGTTGAAACCTCTGTTAATGCCACTGGGTTGACAACTTTTGTTAATGCCACTGGGTTGACAACCTTTGTTATAGCTTGTGGGTTGACAACCTCTGTTATAGCTTGTGGGTTGACAACCTCTGTTAAAGCCACTGGGTTGACAACCTCTGTTATAGCTTGTGGGTTGACAACCTCTGTTAAAGCCACTGGGTTGACAACCTCTGTTAAAACCACTGAGTTGACAACCTCTGTTAAAGCCACTGGGTCGACAACTTCTGTTAAAGCCACTGGGTTGACATCCTCTGTTATAGCTTGTGGGTTGACAACCTCTGTTAAAGCCACTGGGTTGACAACCTCTGTTAAAACCACTGAGTTGACAACCTCTGTTAAAGCCACTGGGTCGACAACTTCTGTTAAAGCCACTGGGTTGACATCCTCTGTTAATTCCACTGGGTTGAAAACCTCTGTTAAAGCCACTGGGTTGAAACCTCTGTTAAAGCCACTGGGTTGACAGAACCAATTTTGGAATTTTATTCTGTTTGTGAAATGTAAATACATCTATTCAAATATAGTACACCCAGTGAAATGGTGTGTGTTAATGACCTGTACTCTGTAACCTTAAAGAGGGCAATCAAACCAGTCAACCAACCAGGCTTAAACACTATGGTGTTAAAATTGACAAACTGTAAAATGTTTCGACTATGCTTTGTTAAGTACATTGCTAGAAATGTTTCGTCAGATTCTATAGCTTTTTTTGTTTGTTGTTATAAATCACATAAAAGATCCTTATGTTCGTTAATTATTAATTCATTGAAAACTTGAGTTTTTGGTTCCACAAAAAACATGTGCACGTTGTGACTATTTATCATGGTGGATGTATTGACAGTAGGAACCGAAGCAACCTGTTACAATGATAAGAGGATAGATTAACATTTGATTTGTTTGTGTAATAGTTAGGATATAAAAAACAGGAATGTGTATTTATGTAAGAACTTAGATGGAGCTGTATATATGATAATGTGACGTAAATAATCAATCAGGCTTACACTATCGAGTAGACGTTTCGTTCCTAGTGAGTGGCGACAATTGTTACCATAGTGATTATGACAGTTCCTGTAAGCTCTTCATCGGGCTTCCATGTGCGTAGTGGGGATCCCAGTAGATCAACAACATTCTGTCAGTACTCAGTGGCTTATGTAAATGTATGATATTTATTTAATCAGCAGCAATATACAGAAACAAATAAAAAAAGACTAGTGAGGCATTCAGTCCCTATATACCACTAGTAACATCTAACATACCCTGGCTTGATGTATTTATACTTAACATGGAAATGTATCCTCGTCCTGGCCTCTTGGTATTGTTTTATTTTTCGTGTGTTTCATGATGGGAGGCCACACATCAATTTTATCATCATTCTATTGATGGTTGATACTGTCGTAAAATTCCGGTACATAAAAAAGCTTGAATCGGTTGCCTAAAGGTTAAGATACTTGAAATCTAAGGGTAAAAAGTATGTAAATATATTTCAGGATTGTTATGAAGTGTACGCTTTTTGTATAAAGAAGTTTATAAATTTCTCACAGTGTGACCTATAATAAGTCGTTGTCACTAATCGATTCGGTCATGTTTCAGGTGTCTGTCCCCAGGCCCTAATATATTTTATGTTAGAGTATTTAAGATTTTAAATATTTACAATAGAATTTTAAAACATACATTTAAATTCTGTAATATCTAGATTGGACTGTGTACTCAAAGTATGAAATTATGAACCTTGACTTCAATAGATTTTAATGAGAAGATAGATATATGGATAGACCCAATGCTGCTAACTATAAAAAGGGTTTGGTTGGTTCCTTTATCCCATGCTCGGATACCTATTGGTATGGAGGGTGATTGGAGAAGAGGGACAAACAACAAATGGTTATCAATCGCCACAAGCTTGGTACGTACCTGTAAAGAAGAATCAACGTATCCCAAGCTTGTTGTGGTTTATTGCCATTTGTACATGAAAGGATATTATATGCATGTAGATTTAATAGATGTGTGGATTTAAAAGCTTTGATGGCATGTCCTTCTGTGTTATCTCCCCTTGATCTGATTTCCACCTGACAGATTAATTCAAAACTAATGCATGCCATGTCATAAAATATGCTAATATTCATAATGTTTTTACATTTTACATTAATCTTATGTATTGTTGAATGTTATATAACTTTGTATAAAATTGAGGTGTTGACAGAATCGAGATTCAACATCAATATAGCATGTCGAAAACACATTTTATTTACAAGTTTTCATTGACAGCTTTATGTGAAGATGATTGGAGGGTTTGACTTAACAACGATCCATGAAAACATATCTCTCTTAAGATAATTGCTTTCTACAAAAGATTGAATTAATACGTGTGTGAAGTGATAACACATTTTAAAGGGGTGAAGCAATTTTATAAATTTCCATCTTTTACCTTAAGGTGAAATATTACAATTAAGTTGTTATGAATTAGTTTCTAGAAAGTCTGAAAGTATCCTAATTGTCATTAATTTACTCATTTTGAAAATATATTGATGATCATATGTTGGTAAAAACATTTTGGAAATAAAAAATTAAACAGCTTGGAATCATTTTATTACTTCTGGAAATATTGAGAAAATCAGTTTAAACATGTATCTCTTTTACCTGAGATTGATATAAAATGCCTGTTGTAGTTTACCCTGGTTTGTATAGAGGTTATACATGTTAAAAAAGGGACCGGTGTGTTTATAGCTTTGTAATATAACAAGAGGATTATCAAATTAAGGGGATAAATCGTAGCCTTTCACAGATTATCTTGTACCTGTCATTAATCACAAAGCCATATGGTCCAAACCTACACAATAACAATAGAGCTTAATCCTTTATTAGTGTGGACTTAGCTTTTTGACTTCTTCACCTGATTCTTTGTAAAGGTATTTTCTACTTACATAATTGTATATATTTACATAGACCAGATAAATATGTATATATTTACATAGACCAGGTAAATATGTATATATTTACATAGACCAGGTAAATATGTATATATTTACATAGACCAGGTAAATATGTATATATTTACATAGACCAGGTAAATATGTATATATTTACATAGACCAGGTAAATATGTATATATTTACATAGACCAGGTAAATATGTATATATTTACATAGACCAGGTAAATATGTATATATTTACATAGACCAGGTAAATATGTATATATTTACATAGACCAGGTAAATATGTATATATTTACATAGACCAGGTAAATATGTATATATTTACATAGACCAGGTAAATATGAGGAAGGTTTATGGGATGCAGTTAATAAACTTTATATTGTAATTTAGGTACAACCGGTATGGTAATTTTCCTCAATTTTTATGAATGTTTTTAGTTTATGTTTAGGTGTTGTAGGTTCCTGGTGTGATGATGAGTCATTGTAGTTCTTTGATTTGATGAAAATACTTGATATCATTCAGTAATCAGTAAACACTTCAGAGATAGAATCTTTCCTTTTATATGATGACGTATGCGATTCAGACATAACAAGATTTACACTGTTTTATCAATTCAATTTGTTGCAACTCCTGAATAGAAGTATTTCATTTCTGTAGATAAAATTGATGATTTCCTTGCCTTGTGAAGCTAATTCAGCATTATTGGAGAAGGAGTTCTGTTCAGTGGGGCGTATATAATACTACAGAAATTAATTCTGTTTTATATTTCCATCTTACAGTGTCAGTCGGCGATCAGTCACAGCAGCTTTACACAATAAGTAAGTAGAGGCTAGCCCCAATCAGCTAACACAGCCAATATACTAACTCTGTTTTTTTAATGGAAATGTTTGATTAAACTTGATATGTGAATTGTTGTTGAGCCTGATTCGTGTATTCTTATATCATCCTTTGAAATTTCTGAAGTGAGATTTTAAATGAGATTCCCTTAGTGACAGTTCTGTCCTACGCCATAATTGATGAACATTAAAAGTATATTGGATATCAAGTTTTCATTTTCTTTTTATCTTTCTCAAACTTTAGTAATCACTTCCCACCCAAAAGTCGGAGCCCTGCACCGGATGACGAGGTGTTGGCCGATATTGACGGCAGTTTTAATCAACTCAACGACAAAGTAAGTGTCAGCCATTGACTTTGCCGATAACATGACCAATAGACCTCTAACCAAATAATATACCTCAGAGTTGATAGGGTTGTCTCCCTTCTCAAATGAAAAAACAAATCTAGTGTTATATCTGTTGATGAGTAGCCACTATGAAAGCGAATTATACATTGTTTTTTGTTTGTTATTTTACAGGTACAGTTACTTGAGAACCAGATTTTACAATTGAACGAAGAAAAAAAGAACTCATTTTCATTACAGACAAAGTTCAAAGACGATAACAGCATCCTCATTGAAAGGTAATCATCATTTGTTTATGTGTGAAATGTGATCAATATTTTCTTCTTGTTTACTGAACCTGTTCTGTACAGGTATTTTTTGATGAGGAATTGTTTATATTATCATGAAGTTATTGGCTTGTGTTTTGTTTTATGGGATAAATAGATAAGTAGATAAGTGTTGGAAGGATGGGGGAGGAGAACTGGGCAAAAATGCAATCACTACTTCACAATGAAATAACACAAAAGAGATTATATACAGCATGTTACTGTAGTGAAGATTCTGTTTAAGCTCTTTTTTTTAAATTGATTTTATTTTGAAGAGAATCTTCAAAGTTTTTTCTTATACACCATGATGTAATGTAGAGATTTTACTGTGATTCTTGTAACACTATAATGAAAATACTATGACTACATGGGATTATAACACATCCGTGTTTTTTGTTTTCTGTAGTATTGTGGACAGGTAAGACTTGTATAGATAGCACCTGTTGATTATGTCATGTGTGACGGGTTCTTGTAGTGGTGTGACAATGATGTTTTTACTGATGTTGGGTTAGTTGTTTATTAAGGCAAATATTTTGTCATCCTCCATCTTGTCTACTGAACATAAATGTAAAATTCATAAAATTATGTTGTGTTCATTCATCCATTTTCAACAACAGATTTTCAGAACATTTATTTCCTGAAAAATTACTTTCATTTAAACTTAATTTTTTATTTTAGAAAATACAAAATTATGTAAATCATTTAATGTATTTTTGCCATGATTAAATTTATTGATGGAGTCAAAATATCTCCCTTTTTTTCGTGTTGGTTTATCTGCTGTCTCTCTAATGCTTCTGTTAACTGGCAATGTTACAAGTGTGATGTTACAATTTTGCTGTAGATTAGATAGTGTTATATCTACTTATTAATTCTGTGTCTATTGCTTAATTGTACAAATAAAGTAGCTTTTCTTTAAAATAAAGTCTTGAAATCTCTGCATTTTCTTCATATATGTGTTTGCATTGCATCTACAAATATATGTATCCTAAATATAACAGCTCAAACATTATCCTGATGAGAAAAAGTTAATCTGCCCAAACATTGTTAGAATTAAACAATCAGCAATACCTAATATTGTATTGCAGGTGTAAAAATGATTCAAGATGCCTTAAAAAGAATATTAAAGTTTAGAAAATAAAAATAAAGTTAAAAAGATAAAATTAAATAACTTTAAATGTAAATAACTTAAGATGCAGATCTTTATGGAATTTCCAATATAAACTTGATATGTTTCATTGGAGAATACAAATTGACTGTAGGTGTCACTTACTTTTGCTCATTGTCCAACTGGCCAGGTAAACTTTTGTTAGTTCTGTTATGTAATATTATGGATAGTTACCTAATTGTGTTATTCTAAGAATGTTTCTTAAGATTAGATTACACTGCTCTACTCAAAGGTGATATTTGGACAAGCTTCACACAATAGATCAAAGACAGCAGTGTACCGATACAAAAGATGTTGTCTGACATTTCAAGTGACAGACTGACATAGTGTAGGTTATAGAAAGGAAGTAACACATGCCCACTAATTGTCCAATTCTTTTGATTACAAATAAGATTAGCAGAGTTACTTCCCTTTCTAAAATACAATAGCATGTTTGATTACAGTACAATGACATTTACTTAGTTCTGTTTTATATAGTAAATGAAAACAAATAAAATTTCTCTTTTTTTTTCATAAATACAGATATATTTTCATTTCGCAGAAAATTATTGACACAAAAAATTTGCCCCCAACTCCTTCTGAACTGATTCATGAATCATGAAACAGTGCTCAAGAAATCTTCTTAGTAGAATTAGTCACATTAAATATTAAATAGTGTATTGATTTAGGGACGTATTAATGCATAGATTTAACCCATCTGTGGCATAAATGAAGCTAAAAGCAAAACAAATGAAAGACATCCATAATTATTTCACAATTATATTTATAAATTATATACAGATATATTTTGACCATTCAGCATTATAGTGCATGTGTGTGTTTTTCGTAAACACTGCTTGTTAAGAAGATTGATGCAGGTGTGAAGCATGTCAGTCTGATACTAATATGCACATTTTCATGCAGGTGACTGCAGGCAATAGTAGGACAAATAACAAAATAGAATGCTCTGTCTTGTAAATATTGTATTTGTAGGTAAAAGACATAAGATTTGAAACATTTGGTCCAATATTAGTACTTTATCAAGCAACTATACAGTATAAGCAGAGAAGTATTATGATAATGACAATGAAGACAAATGTATTTATTGCTGAAGTGATCAGCTTATTTTTAAATATGGGACACAATTGTTTATTGTAAGTAACAATTAATAAAAAATACTTAGAAAATTGCAGCCCTCTAAAGATCAAGATAAAACTCAAAACAGTTAGAGGGGACATACTTGCAGAGAATCCATGTAAATTTGATATTATATTGGAATGATAGCTATGAAGCATTGTTATAGGTTATGGGGAGACAAAGCATTACCTTGGTATCATATATAGCTGTACTGGCATGACCTCTGTATATTCTCAGTAAATATGTCTCCAAGGCTTAATTTCAGTGTTATTTTGTTGAAGTTATCTTTTTCAAAACACAACTTAGATAAACTATTTTTGTATGATGTTTTTTGTATCTTGTAGTGTATAAAGTGTTATAATAAATAATTGCTACATGATAGTCAAAACAGTGAGGATTGTCTCGATACATTTTTTTAGTTGGGAGACAAACTAATTTAGCCATGCCACATTATAAGTAGTTGACATGATTGATATCTGTAATAAATAAACTATGAAGGCCATCTCTCGTTGATATTTAAATCAGATATATGGACACGTGTACTGTGAACCTGTTTAACCAAACATCATACAGAATTCTTCTGTAAATTATTGGATTACGGAAGTAAGCAGAATGCACAGGTTTAACTACGTAGTTTGTTTAAAAAAAAAAATACAACAGACAGATATAGCCAGATGTTGGAATACTCAAGGTCCACTAAACAAGATATTGTTGTGTAACAACAGGTAGACATCATATAAACACTGAACAACATGTGCAAAACATGCATGTTTTTTTTTATTTTTGTTTGTTCTTCTGCTTTATGTCTTAACACATCACATATTTGTAATCTGATTGAATAACTATTAGTTTATTGATTTCACTTTTTCTTACAAGTTTTATGTTTTTTTACCTTACTAATAAAAATACACTATATACTGTTATCTCAGTAATTAAACTGGATTCTTTGATCATGCACGGTGTAAAAAGTCTGCATTAATAATAACACACCTCATTTCACCTCATTCCTCTTAAGGTGTTGATGCTCCAGTATGAGTATGTACATAAGTTAAATCGTGTAAATGTAAGTCTTCAGAATTCTATAGACTTTGATTTCGTTTCTCAGACTTTGATTTGATTGCACATTCTTCTTTAATGCTACAATTTCAGACATATTCCTCTTTTTTGATATTGTAATATACCAATTATCGTGCAAATTTTGTTACCATTTCTGTTGTTTGTAAACTACAATACCATACTGTAACATTAGGCTGGTAATTAATTAGAGTTACTTCCCCTATACAGAGTCCATACTTTAGAAGAACAGCTCAAGGACGTGGAAATTAAATCGGACGAGCGTGTCTTTGACGAGCAGAAAAAATACAAGGAAATCATGGTAAGCTTCCTTCATTTATGATAATATTTTCCTGCATTATAATAAACACTCAAGGAAATGATGTATAATGACATGGGGATATGGGCTTATTACAGGGCATTTATGTATCTGTTGTCAAAACCTCCTAATCAAAGAATGAAGGTGGGCTTATTATCAGACATTGATGTATCTGTTGTCAAAACCTCCTTCTGAAAGTAGGGGTGTGTGTAATAACAGGTCATTGATGTATTTGTTGTCAAAACCTCCTACTCAAAGAAGGAAGGTGGGCTTATTACCAGGGCAATGATATAGTATCTCTTGTCGTAACCTCATACTCAGTAGGGATATGGGCTTATTACAGGACAGTGATGTAGAATTTGTGGGTATTTCTCTTGAAAATCCAACAGATGTGAGAGAGTAGATGCTATGATCAGGCATGAGCTTAAATCTACTAGTCAGATAAACATATAAATGTTGTTTACTGATGAAGCATTTTATGAGTCAGAACAGAAATTATTGTAATAATACTGTATTGTATACATGTCATAAGCTTAATTCACCGATTAAAACATATAGCTGGAATGAAAAAGAATATCTTGCTCCAGACATTTCAGTTAGTATTCAAGGAATAGAGCATATAGATCACTGTGTCCCAACCTAAAATTGTAATCATGCTGTGATACATAGTAAAAACAGTCAGATAACTTCATTTTTGTGGTCCTTAATGTGTCCATGAACTACTCACCATCTCCAAATCAATAAAGTAAAGCAGTTTTGAACTTTTCTGAATGCTTCCTTCATTGTTTGAACGTAATCCTGTAAAAAAAGGTTCATTACACAAAGTCAGAGTGGTGAAGACTAATATAATGAAATTCAGAAAAGTCAATATCAGTATGTTAAGTGGTTCTTTGAGACAATATTTTCACCTTCGTAATTTGAGGATAGTTACTACAACTGTCTTTTGTACACAGGATTCCCTACTGACCTGTAAAGTGCATTGTTAAGAGTGCAGGTGCTATGGCCCTGGGCAGACATTTTGTCCATGTAAAATTACAATAACAGGTTATTTTGTCCCCCACTTCCTGATCCTGTACATTGACTCTGATCACAATACCTGCAGTAATTGAGGACTAAGTGTCAATACCTGAGCTCTTTGTGTGATGGGTACTCACTGTCTGTGGCCAGGGTAGGGGGGTCAGAGAGAACAGGCATGCTGCATGGATAGGAATGAAAATAGGGCCATACAACAGGGACTGTATCATGGGTCTACAGTTATCATGGATGTTTTTCACAAAGGATTACAGAGCAACTAGGAGGGACTCCTGTCTCGACCACAACCAAAATGTTAAACAGAAGTCAAATCCTAATGATGCCGTCCAGTGTCAATATAATGACTGGCAGGTGATGTCCAAAGTTTGTTTTATATAGATAGGAATAATTGGTTACTGTAGTACTGGCAGAAAAAAGTGATATTTCAGATGAAGGCACACCTGATAATTAAGATTTGTTTATGAAAATAAAGGGAAATAACTCTTGATTTAATTATTCTATTTAAAGTAACTTTTAATGATTTTGAAGATAATTACACAAAAATTATTCTAAGTTCTTTTTATTGATCAGCCTCAATAATTGTTTTTGGTCCATTTGATGTGGATATTTCAGAATTCTCAAAAAAAGGGCATAGATTGTCTTTTTCTTATTTAAATTCAATTTATCATAATATGACGCATGTACAATACATTATGGAAACAGATAATATTACAGGTTACTAATAACGTAATAGTTTTAGGGCCTTGGTGTGTCTCTTTTTAACGTACAGTTATTGATTAGTTCATGTCAGCAGCAGAATCAGCTTTGTCCACATCTGCATGCAACTTGGATCAGCATTTAGCATGTACCATTTTCTGGTCAGAGATGTGTTGTATATAGGCCACATGGGAGCACTTGATTTCTTGTACTTACTCCTATGTTTTGTTGTTAACCTTACAAGTTGGCTGTCCATCATTATGGTAGGTTGATCTCTGTATAGAATGGACAAGTGTATCATTTCATGTTGCAAAGTGTACTTATACTACAGGTCAACATACATGTTATGTAATTGTAAAAAATTGTGGAATATGTCGGACCTGTAACACACTGGTAATTCTATAACCATACCAGGTATCAATGTTCACGTATATGGTTGTGAATAGTTCAGAAAATGTATTGGAAAACGGTATGTAGGTTGTTTTAGATTTTAAATCTAGGACAGGAGTAACTAATGTTTGTTTGAATTTTTCACTTTGATAAGAAATGTCACTTACTGTTAACAAAGTGTGTAGGACCTCAATATAAAACAAGTTTATAATGTTTAATTTCTGCACTTATTTTAGTCGCGGAAGGAGAGAGAGAAATCAGATGAGATGGAGTATATAACACGAAGGTAAGACAAAATATCATCTTACCCCAAAGTATGGTGTTAGATGTTACAAAGGGGTATCACTTCCAGCTTCAAGGTTTAACATTGATGGTAACACAGATATAGATATATGATGTGACTTGGTGGATACCATACACAGGTATAAACTATAACTAGGTATAGATATAGAATGTGACTTGGTGGTTACTGTACACAGATATAGAGACATGATGTGACTTGGTGGTTACTGTATACAGGTATAGAGACATGATGTGACTTGGTGGTTACTGTACACAGGTATAGAGACATGATGTGACTTGGTGGTTACCGTACACAGGTATAAACTATAACTAGGTATAGATATAGAATGTGACTTGGTGGTTACTGTACACAGGTATAGAGATATGGTGTGGCTTGGTGGTTACTGTATACAGGTATAGAGATATGATGTTACTTGGTGGTTACTGTACACAGGTATAGAGATATGATGTGACTTGGTGGTTACCATACACAGGTATAAACTATAACTAGGTATAGATATAGAATGTGACTTGGTGGTTACTGTACACAGGTATAGAGATATGGTGTGACTTGGTGGTTACTGTATACAGGTATAGAGATATGATGTTACTTGGTGGTTACTGTACACAGGTATAGAGATATGATGTGACTTGGTGGTTACCATACACAGGTATAAACTATAACTAGGTATAGATATAGAATGTGACTTGGTGGTTACTGTATACAGGTATAGAGATATGATGTGACTTAAAAAGTCATTACTGTACACAGGTATAGAGATATGATATGACTTGGTAGTTACTGTACACAGGTATAGATATAGAATGTGACTTGGTGGTTACTGTACACAGATATAGAGACATGATGTGACTTGGTGGTTACTGTATACAGGTATAGAGACATGATGTGACTTGGTGGTTACTGTACACAGGTATAGAGACATGATGTGACTTGGTGGTTACCGTACCCAGGTATAAACTATAACTAGGTATAGATATAGAATGTGACTTGGTGGTTACTGTACACAGGTATAGAGATATGGTGTGACTTGGTGGTTACTGTATACAGGTATAGAGATATGATGTTACTTGGTGGTTACTGTACACAGGTATAGAGATATGATGTGACTTGGTGGTTACCATACACAGGTATAAACTATAACTAGGTATAGATATAGAATGTGACTTGGTGGTTACTGAACACAGGTATAGAGATATGGTGTGACTTGGTGGTTACTGTATACAGGTATAGAGATATGATGTTACTTGGTGGTTACTGTACACAGGTATAGAGATATGATGTGACTTGGTGGTTACCATACACAGGTATAAACTATAACTAGGTATAGATATAGAATGTGACTTGGTGGTTACTGTATACAGGTATAGAGATATGATGTGACTTAAAAAGTCATTACTGTACACAGGTATAGAGATATGATATGACTTGGTAGTTACTGTACACAGGTATAGATATAGAATGTGACTTGGTGGTAACTATACACATGTATAGATATATGATGTGACTTGGTGGCTACTGTACACAGGTAGAGAGATATGATGTGACTTGGTGGTTACTGTACACAGGTATAGATATATGATGTGACCTGGTGATTACTGTACACAGGTATAGAGAGATATGATGTGACTTGGTGGTTACTGTACACAGGTATAAACCATAACTAGGTATAGATATAGAATATGACTTGGTGGTTACTATACACAGGTAAAGATATATGATGTGACTTGCTGGTTACTGTACACAGGTGTAGATTTATGATTTGATATTGATGGTTACTGTACACAGGTATAGAATTATGATTTGATATTGATGGTTACTATACACAGGTATAGAATTATGATTTGATATTGATGGTTACTATACACAGGTATAGAATTATGATTTGATATTGATGGTTACTATACACAGGTATAGAATTATGATTTGATATTGATGGTCACTATACACAGGTATAGAATTATGATTTGATATTGATGGTTACTGTACACAGGTATAGAATTATGATTTGATATTGATGGTTACTGTACACAGGTATAGAATTATGATTTGATATTGATGGTTACTGTACACAGGTATAGAATTATGATTTGATATTGATGGTTACTGTACACAGGTATAGAATTATGATTTGATATTGATGGTTACTATACACAGGTATAGAATTATGATTTGATATTGATGGTTACTGTACACAGGTATAGAATTATGATTTGATATTGATGGTTACTGTACACAGGTATAGAATTATGGTTTGATATTGATGGTTACTATACACAGGTATAGAATTATGGTTTGATATTGATGGTTACTGTACACAGGTATAGAATTATGATTTGATATTGATGGTTACTGTACACAGGTATAGAATTATGATTTGATATTATTGGTTAGTATGCACAGGTCAAGTTGTATGACGTTACGTTGGACATAGGTGTAGGTGTACAATTTGACAATTATGCTATATAGACAGACCCTGTCTTAATCAGCTGACACACCATGTCTTCACAAACCAACCAGCATCCACTTCAACTAACCTCATTATCACCACCACTTTCCCCAATCCCTCGCATACTACTACACCCTACTGTACACACCATTGAAACTCCATTCACCACTCTCTCAACATTCACTACAACTAAATTGTAACACAGTCATCACTACTGCCCTCTCCCATCACCTTTACCAATGACCATTACTATTTTCTGCTGACCCCATTTCCCTAAACCCCAGGCTCCTCTAAAATCTTTAAATTCTGCTGTCTGAAATCCCTAGGTAGTCTGAATCATTCTGACATTCATGAAATTCTAATCAATATAAAGGTTGATGAAACATCAGAATAATTTGAAGTAACCACTAAGATGATGTCTGACCAGCTGTTGCTAATCCTCCTCCTCCACGTGGTCATATATATGTAATAAGGACATAGAATGTATCAGTAGTGTAGCCTGCTAGCCCTGTACAATGACTCGATATGGTGTCCAGTATGATACAGGTAACTTGTTGAGGTAATGAATTCAGTTTACACCAGTAAATACTGTGCAACATGTGTCTGGAATCGTAATGACTGCTCAGAGTGAGGACAATGCTCCTGGATATAGTCTGGCATACGTTGGTCTTGGTTTATCTCATGATGGCCCTGGTTTCCAAGGCAACTTTCCAGATGTTGAAACTGATTGTCACTGTCGTAGAAACATTTATCATGAACATGTTTGTACCAAGAAAATAAGAGTTGTATAATAGATTTTTTTAAAGTGTAAAGTGGATTAAAATTACTTTTAGCCATTGTTTTCTTATTGTTTTAATAGGAAAAAGAAATTAAATAATTTTTTTGAACTATTAAGCAGTCTCGTTAAAATGTTTCCTCTGTTTTATTTCAGGCTCCAAACTCTAGAAAGCGAATGTGATCAGTTGAAGCAAGAAAATCCTAAGTTGCGTCTGGACATAGAGAGGTTACGAAATGTAAATATAAAAACAGCCCAGATTAAGTTAATGTTGATTGATAAATTCAGGAAATGCCTACAGAGAAATCGAGAGTAAACAGTTTCATTGACTCAAGAATGCTTTCCTGTGAGTGATTTTATCCTGAAAGTTTAGGAACTTTTCTGAAATTATGACTTTGGTACACATTCATTTAGGTTTTATCTTTCAAGACGTATTTTTGACATTGTGGAGTAAAGATTTGTTATAGATGTGATCAGTTTTGTTTGAATTTAGAGTAAACTATTTATATTGCCGTCAATTTTAACATTTTTAAAGTTTGGCAGTATGACGTTGATAAAATTGTAAGATTATGGAGAAAAATCATTGCTTTTCATTTTGTAGGAAAAAAGAGAGCTTCAGGAAAAGTTGTCTGAAACACAGGTCGACTATAACATGTTGTTAAATGAACATGAAGACTTTAAAAGACGAGCAGAAAGGGAACGGGAAACAACAGGCCAGGTAGGTTGTCAAACATCCTAGGTGTGACCGAGGCTTCCCACCTAGGGAAAAATTAGTGTCCTGAAGAAGAAACAACCAGGTAGGTAGGTAGATATTAAGTGTGACAGAGGCTTCTGACTTCAGGAATAAACATGGGCATGAACAAGAAATAACCAACTAGGTAGGTTGTCATAGACCTAAGGTGTAATAGACGTTTCTGACTGCAGGAAAAAATAGTGGAAACAGTAGGCATAAGATAAAAGTAGTTAAATATGTATGGTATAGAATTTTTAAGGACACAAACATCAAAACAGTTTGAGTAATATGGGATATTTAGGTCATGTGAGTTCAGGGAGTTGGGGTGTACTGTTTAATGGTAGGTAGATTGAATAATTGTATAGGTGGTATAGCTCTAAATTTATTTGAGTCAAAAAAATCTTCAAATACACTGACATATCATTTTAATTTCTAAATTTCGGTTAGATTAGGCACCAGAACTTGCGCTGTACATACTGAAATATAAAGAAAAAAAAATTATTTGAATTTTAGTTTGATGTATAAATAATGTTTACAAAGTTTGTAGAAATAGATATTACTACGACTAGATGGAAATTAACAAACCTTTTACCTTTGAAAAGGAAAAAAAAATTGATTCATAGAAATTTTCAAACCTTCTTATAATGACCATTTTCAGTCTCTGCCATGAGCAGTAAAGACATGTTTGACTCTACCAAAAATGGATAACTAGATATTAAAGATACATTAAATCCAAAATCAAATAACTTATGCCAATAATGATGTGTTTTATGGTAATCTCTTAACTTATCAATTAGTAAGAATATTTCATTTTCATTTCCAGTTATTAGATGAGTTGGGGAAGGAACTAGGAGAACTCCGACAATATAAAATAGAAATGGACTTACATCGACCAAGAGGGGATAGTCAAGGCGAGTTACCAGGTCGCTACCATGCCCTTCAGACAGAAGTGTCAAGGTTAAAAGAGGTGAGAGAGTGAAACACACTAAATCTGCTCTCTCTGGCTTTCACCATTGTTTCATACCACTGATTTGGTTGCGTTTAAAACAACAATATATACATACGTGTGGTGCTAACAGTGTTTTGAGGTCAACTTGTCTCTCATTACATGAAAACCATTCATCTTGGTGATTGATATGTATTATTGTTAGCAATAGTTTGGGTTAGTGATTGGCTTCAAGCTACTAATTCCCTTTCCTTAGGGGAAAACTTATTTCACATTTTCTGTCATTGTTAAATGCTATTTTTGTAGTAACAGTGTCCACTGCATCTTCGTGGAATAATTTTTATAACATGATAAATCATATGATAAATATTCTCCATATGTATATTTGTTTACAATTGGGAGTTGGTTTATATCAATACAATTTTCATTACACAAGGCATTAACCGTTGAATGGAGGACTTTAAGCAAGGTTTGTATTTCTAACATTCTATATAGTGGCTGTACTGTATCTACACAGGATTATCTCCCCTTTCTCTAAAACTGCATCTTGACTGCTTCTGGTGATAGTTGTAATGGTTTAACTATTAGACTAGATACCATGACCATAAAACACTGAACAAGCATTCTCTGTGACTTTGCTCTTTATTGTTTTGTTCGTGTGTTGTATTGTTTCTTAATGTTTCAATTCTTTTTTTATTTTTGTATCGAATCAAAACGTCAGAGATTACATTCTGTTTGTATTGGTGAAGAAGAAATCCAATGAAAACAGAATTTTATACTAACCAGAATATTTTTAGTCAGTCAAAGACTAAAAATACTCATAAACTGTTGTAATATTGTAGCCTAATTTAAAAGGATTTGTGCCATATTTGTCAGGAGGCTTGGTAGTTTTGCTGTATACTAGATTGAAACATATAACATCACTGATTGAAATCCCCATATTTTCTGAAAGGAGAATTTTAGAAATTATTTTAATTGATCCAGCCCAAAGATTTTTTAAATTTAAACAGAGTCATTAGTACCAATAGGTTTTTAACTTTAGAAGGACTAGGTGTGTTAAGGTGTCTATTCTGAGTAGGAGTTATTCCCCCTACCTTTGGTACTGGTTAATATTCAAATTTTTTTAACCTCAAAACTAGACTTTTTACACATAAAACTTCCCTACCCACACTTACATTTGACCTCTTGATATTGTTTCCTGGTAGATGTAGCTTTTTCTTTAAAAAAAGATGTGTTTTGGAAACATTCTGACCATTTGATCATCAAAAGGCAGTTGATTTATTAAAAATGTATTAAAAATACTGGTTGTATAGCAAATCTGGAGAGGTGAAGCATTTTATTAAATACCGGTATCAGTACATTTATAATGTATCCTATGTTTGATAAGGTACACATAGTCATTTAATGTGTGATGTAGTTATTTACCAGATCAAAAGTCTCTATTTATCAACAAACTTGTTATTACATTATTTGTATCATGCATTTTGTGAGAACCATAACATGGATTTGTTTAGGAATTCACTTTTAGCTGAAAATATAATTATGCTTGCAAGCATGTGTACACCGGTATGTGATTTTGCTGGGTAATATATGCATGATATGTTGAAGACCTTCCTTGATATTGTGCATGGATCATGTTACTAAAGTGCACATGCTTTGTATTGTAGGAAAGTCCTTATAATATATTATTGCTTTATGTTAATATTTCACTTTTTTCACCAATTAGTTCTCACATTGTATTGTCCATTTGTGATCTAGTGCAGGTGACTAGTGTAATCCAAAATTTCAGTGTAGGCTTGACTTTTTATGCTGGAGATTGACTGAGCTAGCATCATGAGCTTGTGGGATCATGCCAGATTTTCTCTGCTTACATTTATAGCTCACCTAACCTGAAGGGCCAAGTAAGCTCATGACATACCGTGATGTCTGTTGTCTGTCCCAATTTTTTCATACAAAATGCTACTAGTCATAAAAGACTTACATGATTTTCACCAAATTTGATCAGAAGCATCCCAAGAGAATGTGGAAGGAATTTTGTATCAGTGGTGGATCTTAGCCCCCAGTTGCCTGCAGGGTGGGGCCCAAAATGGGAAATTTTAAAATCCTACTCCTGCTGTAGGAATTAATTTGGTCTGAACTATTCTTAGGTGAAGTGGAATCAATTGTATATTAACAGTGGATTCCTAACCCCTTGGATAGGAGGGGTGGGGCCCAATTGGAAAAATAGAGCAGATTCCTTTAAATCCTACCTCTCCATTATGAATGATTAGACATCGCCCAAATTTGGTCAGAAGTATTCTTGGGTGAAAGGGAACAAAGTTTGTGTAAGGATTGGTTCTCAGTTGTACTCTTCCTATAAGAATAAATAGATATTGCCCAAATTTGGTCAGAAGTATTCTTTGGTGAAGTGGAATATAAACTGTGCATCCCGGCTCCCTAGGGCAGGAGAGGTTGGCTGAATTGGGGAAATGTAAGTTCTTAAAACTACTTTCCTTCAAGGATATTGTCCAAGTTTGGTGTAAAGCAATTTTATGAATAGTGAATCTGACCTCTGTTTTACCACTCGAGCATGACCCATTAGGGAAATTATGTAAGAAATTATTTTTCATATTTGAAATACTTTATTAAATGGCTTAATAGCTAAATAAGTCAGGTGAGCAATTACAGGCCCTTTGGGCCTCTTGTTTGAACTGTTGATCTTAAAAATCTAACTGTAAAAATGGTTTACATATTGTAGGTGCTAGAAGTTGACAGTGCATCGTCAAATAACGAATATATCATCCATCGTGTTCCATGAAAATTGATAGTATAAAATAATCAGTACAAAGGTGGACAAATTGTCTGACCAGGCTCCACTTGTATAAAACATCTCAACTTGAGATTTCCTCAAGTCGAGATTTTCCTCAGGTAATATCTCCTTGAAAATATCTTGTATGAAAATTCCTCAAGGAATTTCAGAACACCCTAGCCGATGACTTCCTCCTGTTCCTTGAGAAAATTTTATACAAGCCGTTTTTGAGGAGATATCAGCTGAGGAAAATCTCGACTTGAGGAAATCTCAAGTTGAGATGTTTTATACAAGTGGGGCCAGGTTATGTATCTGCTGGAATATTACCTCATGTCAAAATTCTAGAATTTTAACAGTATTTCTAATATAAATAATCCTCGGAAAAATTTGATGTCTTTATACCAGTTTTGTTGTTGACAATTATCAAAATTTACTGCACCAGTATGTAGATTTATCAGTACATATTCTTGGGCATTGTAGGAGAACAAGGCACTCCACGACACAAATGAGGATCTAAGTGCCCAGCTTCTTACCAATTGTTTGGAGGAGGGACGATCGCTGGTCGGCAGTAAGGAGAACTCCCTAGCTGCAGAACTCGACCACCTTACGAAAGAGGAGGTAATTTATACTGCAAGAGTTAGCTCCCTTATACAGATAAAATTTTGAGTTTACTAACTAATTTTAAAAGCAGAAAATAAGTCTGTATTGCTAACTTGGATTGAATTTCGACATTTGCTTTACAATGAATAACATATAAAATCTAAGTTTCTGTTTTGCCAACCTATCAATACATTTCCAAAAGAACTAAAAGTCTGCTCTCCTTTTAGAGTTCCTTAGATGATATTATGGATGAAATGATTTGTAAAGTATGGTCATGTTGATATTTGTTTCCATCTGTATAGTTAATGGACAAATTGAGGAAACAGACAGATATCAATATTCGACTGGAAGCCTATGTGGACCGGATACTTTTACGAATAATGGAGATGAACCCCACCCTATTGGAAGTGTGAGAGTTTGAAGAGTGCTTGTTGAGACATTGAGCATTGTTTTTTATTTATTGTTGACAAATTTCTGTGATATCAATAATCAAACATTGTCAGTGTAAACAGTGTTTGAGATTCTGTAGTGGCATTGTTTATATGTTACGAGATTCATCCTGCCTAGGACAGTCCACGTTAATAGCACCTAGAAGGTGAGAGCATCTCTTTTGCTGGAATTTCTGGACTGCCAGGACTTCATACCAGCTACAACATACTGTATACTACAGATTAACAGAAATGTTCACATTTTATAAATGTGATATAGAATTCTCCTCTGTAGGAATGTCTATGTTTCTCTATCACACCTTCACTTTGGACAAACAGAAAAGTATAGGTGGATATTTGATCCTGGGTTTAGAATGTCCAGTGACATGAGGTTTAGAATGTCCAGCGACACGAGGTTTAGAATGTCCAGTGACACGAGGTTTAGAATGTCCAGCGATCCTGGTTTTAGAATGTCCAGCGACACAAGGTTTAGAATGTCCAGCGATCCTGGGTTTAGAATGTCCAGTGATTCTGTGTTTAGAATGTCCAGTGATCCTAGGTTTAGAATGTCCAGTGATCCTGGGTTTAAAATCTCCAGTTATCCTAGGCTTAGAAGGTCCAGTGATCCTGTGTTAAGAATGTCCAGTGATCCTAGGTTTAAAATCTCCAGTGATCCTAGGTTTAAAATCTACAGGGATCCTGTGCTAAGAATGTCCAGTGATTCTAAGTTTAAAATGTCCAGTGATCCTAGAATTAAAATCTCCAGTGATCCTAGGCTTAGAATGTCCAGTGATCCTAGGTTTAAAATCTCCAGTGATCGTAGGCTTAGAATGTCCAGTGATCCTAGGTTTAAAATCTCCAGTGATCCTAGGCTTAGAAGGTCCAGTGATCCTGTGTTAAGAATGTCCAGTGATCCTGTGCTAAGAATGTCCAGTTATCCTAGGTTTTAAATCTCCAGTGATCCTAGGCTTAGAAGGTCCAGTGATCCTAGGTTTAAAATCTCCAGTGATCCTAGGCTTAGAATGTCCAGTGATCCTAGGTTTAAAATCTCCAGTGATCCTAGGCTTAGAATGTCCAGTGATCCTAGGTTTAAAATCTCCAGTGATCCTAGGCTTAGAATGTCCAGTGATCCTAGGTTTAAAATCTCCAGTGATCCTAGGCTTAGAAGGTCCAGCTGTTTTTTTTTTCAGATTGTGCAATATTAGGATTTTTTATAACTTTAAAAATGACATGAAGTGTCCAATATATATCTTTCAAATAATTTGAAGCCTTACATTATGTCAGTGAAACTGCGATCTATATTACTGTAGTTAACTTCTTTTTAAAAATCTGGATTTTACACATTACAGATAGATTTCTGATACAATTACTCAGTACAAGAAGAAAACTTTACTTTGATGTTTCTATTGTGTCAGAAAGACAGGAGTATATATCAAAATACTTCTATGTATTGTTTGCATTAATGTCAAACAGAGAAGGATGTCCGACCTGTCCATCCTTCGTAATTTCAATAACCAATGCTAGGTCAGCACACCAAAATTGGTAGTGCAGTGTTCTAGGATAGAAAACAGTTTTATTTTTACCTTGAATGTATTGAAACATTTTTGATTATCTGTGCCTTTCACAGTCATTACATTTTACATGGTCAAAGTAAATAAAATGTATGTAAAGTACACTTCACCTTAAACCATTGTCTTCATCAGAATTTTTTTTATTTATGAAATTTCTTGAAACCATCAATTTTAAGAAAACTAAGTTCACATGGATTCATGTATACTAAAATGACATATTGATTTTTCTAAGATTTACATTATACCCAGCTGGATACTAAGGATGAAATGTCAATGATTTTTTTTATCCTCAAATAATTTTTTTTTTTTTTTTAATTTTACCCTCAAGTTTCATAAAGTCATTTCATATGGGTATTATAAATGAATTCGTCATTCATCAACCATTCTGGACTGGCAGTGTCCAACTGCTTAAAGAATGTTAATTGTGGCATGCTTTACTTAATGTTTGAGTACTACTAGATCATTTCACTGGTAATATGGCCACGTTATATTTCACCAGCAGTATGTCATTTGATTGTTGCCATGGTTATGCTGGTCATTTATGTAACTTTTTCTTTTTTTAAAAAGGAGTTAATTTGTAAATGTGTAAATGTACGGTGTTACCTTGCATAATGACATATGTAGTGTAATAGTGTTATTTGCATGTAGCCATTTGTGCAGTATAATTTTGAGTTTAAAATGCTGAAGAAAACAATCTACTCACAGCATTTAGACATTACAAGATTCCCCCTTTGAAAAGCAGTCTCAAGTTTAATGAAAAAAAAGGAATTTGAAAGTATGAATTTTTTTTTTGTATACCTAATTATTTGTGTAAGTACCTTCCAAAACAGGACAAATTACATGACTCCCAATAACTAACAGACCATCATGTGACAGGTATTATATTCAATTGCACTGTACTTGTCAACCACCAATATTTTTGCAAGATTTTTTGCCTCCAATTTTTACCCCTAAAGACTCCTATAATTCCTAAGCCTTGTATTGATATTAAATGACTGCATTGCTACACCACTATTGTCATATTGTAAACATTGTTGATGTTTCTGATGTGGCATCAGTTGTAAGATATTGTTGTCATGTGGGACTTCATAGACGATTTATTTTTCACTAAGAAATAGTATTGATTGTTAATATTATTGATTATTGATTTTCTCTGATTTCAAATCAGAAAGATTGACTGGTATGGTATACATGAGGGAGACACATTGCTGTGCTTGCCTTAATTCATGCTCAATCTGTATTTTTATACAACAAACCAGTGATAGATAAACCATTCCATCCCATTAACACACTGAAGTGCAGAGTACGTACTATTTTTCATTGGGAGAAATATTTGATAATTAGAAACATTTAAAAAATCATTGATCAGGATGTTAAATTGCTTGTTATTGTGTGTGTGTGTGTATGTGTGTGTGTGTCAGATTTTATATCTTCAATAAATTCTTTGGTTATTTTTTTCATATTTTGATATTCCAGTATATGTAATACATAGTAGTTGATAGCAAGTTTGTACAAAATGTTTGTGGTTGAGAGTGGTAAGGGAGGTAAGTAGTGTAGTCTTGTGCAGATTTGGAGGCGTCCAAAGTTATTTATTGTATCACAACTTAATAGCCATTCGCAACAGTCATCTACTTGTGAAACATATATTCCAAATGATCATGTTTGTTTTTGTGAAAATGTGTTCTTTTTTCAAGTCCTGTGATGAATTTCTGGAACTAATGTCTCAAACTTCAGTGGTGATAATTGGCAAGAATTGAATACTTGTCAAAAGTCCATTGTTCAAGTCTGATACTTTTCTGTTGGTGAAACAGTTGATAAGATACAGAGACAGTAATCAATACAAATTTGTTTGTGAGCCACTCCTGTAGTATTTCATTTTTTTTCAATCCTCAAGAAAGTTGTAACACACTTTTCCCTACTTAGACGTACAGTTGTCGAGAGACAATTCTTTTGAGTAAATGACATTGATTTCCAATTGATTCAATGGTAGTTCTAGTCCATTTGGTTTGTGCCATTTCCTACATTTGATTACGACTCCCTACAGAGGTTCCCCGATACATCTAACACATGTATAAATATGTTTGGTGTTTGGTTCTGTTGAATTCAAAGTGTAGGTTGTGTTGTTTATTTTGCTATCACATGTAAAATAACAATATTTAAAAAAAATTGTGCATGTTCAGACTCTTCAAGTGGTTCACCTTCTTTCGGCAAGGTTACAAAGTAACAAGACATGTATCAAAAGTATTTTTAATCTTTTGTTTATCAAAGAATGATTCTGTCTTTCCTCCAAGACAAATCATGTATTCATGTCAGTGAATCAGTGAATAAGAATATGATCGATTTAGATAATGAAATGAAATATATTGATTAATATTTTTATAATTTTTTTTCTGGAGTTAGATACATGGAGTACTGTTGATAAATTTACATCAAAAGGCTGTGCCTTTCTCATTTATACATGTCTAGAAATATTCAAAGATTTTAACAAGCACAAATCACAAACACATTCCGTTCTGTAAGTCAGAACCCAGATATATAAGTAATCTTGTTGTTTCTGTGTAACATAGTCATTTTTCTGTATCAAAAATGTTGATTTATTGTTGAAATTTTATTTAGACATAACATTATTATTTAACTTCAGATCGATTGGTGAAATGTAAAAAAGATATTTTTTGAAAACTGTTGACCCGTTTGAATTGAATTCAAGATAAATATTGTGATAGTGGTAATATGGGGTATTTTACATGTTATTTTAAGAGCGTAGGTTTTGATCGCAATTGTTACTTAAAAGAAATCGATGATAACAGTGAACCTTACTGTTATAAAAACTTGTCCAACCAAGTGTAGAACTAAATTTTACCATTTGTCTTGAGAAATATTACTAGTTTACTAGAATGTTACCGAGTATCTGGGAAATATGAAAATGCAGTAGACTTATTATGCACCTGCAAAAGTTTCACCTCTTATGACCTAACCACACTTGTGTTTCAATTGTAAACCTGTGACTGAAATGTTTATGATATTAATGTTTTCACAAAAGGATCATCTGTTATTATTTGTTCTCAAACAACTCAGCAATTTAGCTAGAAAAGTTAATTTGACATGTCTGTGTACTAAATATAGATGGACAAGAATTTTTTGGAAGAGAAACAGACATGTTGATTTTTTTCAAATTCCAATATTTTTATATGGGACAAATTCAGATTTTTCTGACATGGTGTTTTCAGTTAAGCAGCATTCAGGCAACATCTCAAGAATAGACGTTCTATTCTATGTACAGACATGTACAGATTTCAGTGTCACCGTTGTAAAGTACATGTATATGAATTGCAAAACCAGCATTTGTTTTATAAAAAAAACATAATGAAACAATTATTGATATATTTTACAGAACATGTTGAATCACTGGAAATATTTAATGCTTAATTGAAAAATGTAGTAGATTATGTGCCCATAATTCTGTCCTGAAATCTGTGTTCTCTGTTACATTGTTCATAAACACAATACATTTTGCTAATGATTCAGGTAGATTTTGATAAGAATTAATTGATTTGTCCATATTTGATGGGTTTCTGTTAAATCTCTGGTCCAGATTGTTGTGTTTATCAGTCAGAATGGCTTAAACTTAATAAAGAGACTGGACTTTCACTGCCCTCAACCTGTCATGAGGTAGCCCTTCAAAATTTTAGGGTAAAAAAGTTTATACGAAGTCATCAAGGAAAAAAACTTAAAATCAGTGACATGGACTTGTCATCATATATGTATTTGACAAAGTACATGTTTCTTTGAATATCATTTTGACTGTATCAAATCCAAAAATTCTGAAATCAATATGAAGGAAAAATTGGGTGATTCAAGCATTTCCCTTGATTTGGTCATGGTATGGCCAATATCAGATGGACCTGAATAACTGAGGAAAGTTGGTGACACTGGACTCCATTTGTATTTGAACATGTTTGATTTTTTTATCTAGTGAGTGCCTTCAAGACTTTATTTAAAGTAGATTTTACAAACAGATCCCTTAATTTCGAAAATAGTTTTGCAGTGGTTAAATACTGAGCAACTCTGGCGTCCATTTCTCCAATAGTTATCACCGAGTGTGAAAACTTGTTTTGTCCGACTGGTTAGAAAACAACAATGAAAATGCAAAGAAAATAAAAAAAAAATAATAAACAGTTTTGAAGTGTTGTAGTTTTTGATTGACAGTAAAGAATGGTTTATTGGGTAGAGAGGCTCATCTCTTTTCCA